AGGAGGATCACCTGAACCCAGGAGTTCGATGCTGCAGTGAGCTATGATCAAGACACTGCACCCACGGGGGAGGGGAGGCGAGGGCAACCTACATAACCTAAACATCTGTACCCCCATAATATGCTGAAATAATAAAAAAAAGACACTGCACCCCAGCCTGGGCAACAGAGTGAGACCCTGTCTCAAAGTGAATAAATAGGCCGGGCGCGGTGGCTTACGCCTGTAATCCTAGCGCTCTGGGAGGCCGAGGCGGGCGGATTGTTTGAGCTCAGGAGTTCGAAAACAGCCTGAGCAAAAGCGAGACCCCCGTCTCTACTAAAAATAGAAAGAAATTAATCGGACAACTAAAAATACATAGAAAAAATTAGCCGGGCATGGTGGCGCATGCTTGTAGTCCCAGCTACTCGGGAAGCTGAGGCAGAAGGGTTGCTTGACCCCAGGAGTGTGAGGTTGCTGTGAGCTAGGCTGACGCCACAGCACTCACTCTAGCCTGGGCAAAAGAGTGAGACTCTGTCTCAAAAAAAAAAAAAGTGAATAGATAAATAAAAGGCATTGCTGGTTGTGTGGTGGGACAGGTGAGCTGGCCCATGCTTTACCCTTCTCTCTCTAAAGAAACCCACCAGAAAAGTCCCCGAGAAATCTGAAGAGACATTCACAAATGAGGAGATGTGAACCGCCAACAAACACATCAGATGACGCTCCCTGGGAGCAGACAAGACTCGAGGTCAATGTGAGGACATTCTCCCTCATGAGACCAGAAAAATCTACAAGTCTGACAACATCGTGGGGTGGGGCAGGGATGCGGGCGAAGAACTCTCACACCCAGCCAGGGAAAGGGAGCTTGGGAGAACTGCTTTGTAAACCAATCTGGCAGTTTCTCAAAACACTCCCATATGCTGCTTCTAGGAACATGTATACCTGTACCCGGGGAAACCCATACGAGAATATTCGCTGGAACAAAGAAAAAGCTGGAAAGCACTAGTATGTCCACAAACAGAACAGAAACTTCAAATGTGATGCATTCATCGATGGATTCAGCATTTCAAAGGAATGGGCTGATGGTTGGGAGTGGTGGTTCACGCCTGTAATCCTAGCACTGGGAGGCCAAGGCAGGAGGCCTAACCTCATGTGAGGTCAGGAATTCAAGACCAGCCTCAGCAAGAGGGAGATCCCATCTCTAGGGAAAATAGTAATAATTAGCCCGGCATGGTGGCACGTGCCTATAGTCCCAGCTACTCGGGAGGCTTAAGCAGGAGGATTACTTGAACCCAGGAGTTTGAGGTTGGTTTGAGATTGCTGTGAACTAGGCTGATGCCACGGCACTTTAACCCAGGTGACAGAGCAAGACTCTGTCTCAAAAAAAAAAAAAAAAAAAAGGAATGAACTCATGCCACATGAGTGACACCAACAGATCGCACACCACGTTGAATGACAAGCACAAGTTGCACACCCAAGCACAATATTATACATTTGCAGATGTTACAGACACACAGAAACAAAATTTTGTGTTTCTCATGGATACTGGGATGTATTTCAAGGATTTACAAAGCAAACTCATTGAGACAGTTGGAAGACTTTAAAAAAAATAAAATAAACTAAAATAAATTTTAAAAAAGTAAAAAGCACACACATACCAATGGGTTCAGGGAGTCAAAGGGACTTTATTTCAATTAATATATGATGTTCCTTAATTTCTATTTTTTAAGCTCCTTAAAATAAATTTCAAAAAGAATGCATTTCATTCCTGTGTGAATATTTTTAAAAAATGCAGAATAAGCCACACACAAAAGGACAAACACCGTATGATTCCACTTACATGAGGTCCCTAGAGTGGTCAAATCCACAGAGACAGAAAGTAGAATGTGGGGGTGGGGCCAGGGGTGGGGGCCGAGCAGTGGGAGTGGGGAGTTGTTGAATGGCAACAGAGTTTCAGTTTGGGAAGATAAAAAACGTCTGGACGTGGACGGAGGTGACGGTTGCACAACACTGTGACTATGCATAACGCCACTGGAATGTGCACTTAAAAATGGTTAAGATGGTACATTTTATGCTCTGTGTATTTTACCACAGTTAAAAAAAAAAAGAAACAAAGAGCTGTAAAAGGCATGCGCAAGAGCTGTACGAACTGATGAGTAATTTCCAAGATAAATTATTAAGTGAAAAAACAAAGTGCAGGTGGGAAAGAAGGGTACCGGAGAACACACTCACGGGTCTCATCTGTACAAAAGCAACACAAGGGACAGAGGAGAACCAAGGAGTCCGGCTACGGCGGGCGGGCGGGGACGAGGGGGGAGTGGGACGGCGGAGCGATACTCCCCCCACCCTTCTCCACCCACGCCCTCTGTGCAGCGCTGACTCACAGCATTACACCGCAAGGCTTCACATACCAAAAAACAAATGAGTGGAATCAACTAGGCACGGGGTAAATGCAAAATGGAATATTAAACAGTAACAGATGAACCTGCTACAAACGACATGTATTACAAATAATATGACCACCCCAAAGGCGGTGGGGAAGAAAAGAAGGATCCTGAGTAATTTTGGAAAACAGCATTTGGAAAACTACTGTGAGGCTGCAGACTAAAAACTGTACGTAATAGTACACACTAATTAGTAAATTGGTTTCTCACAGGCATGTGGGTGAACAATTCTGAAACAGCTTTAGTGGTACCGGGATTGAACAAATTGGTAAACACATCGGTATAATGAGAGCCAGGTGCTTCACTGCTGGAGAAGAAGTTACCAGAAGGAAAAGGGAAAGCTACAGTGAGCCCTGCAGTATTGGGTTGAAATCAAAGAAATGAGTACGAACTTCTTGTTTTTAATATAAATGCAAATGAATAATTACAGAAATAAGTACAGGCATGTGTGTGTGTTAACATACACTGATATTTCCCTGTCTCTGTCCACCTAGAAGACCTTCAAGCAGTGACGCTCCGGCAGCAACGAGCGCACCTGGTACCCAGACCTTGGTTTCTAAACACCACTCTCCAAAAAACAGAACCCGATTCCTTAGAGAAATAGCTGATTTCAGGGCTGGGGCAGGGAAAGTACAAGATGAGCCTGGAACACCTTGTAGCACTAGAAAGTAAAGAAGTGCTCGAAAAAAGGAAGGGGCGTGTTCAAGGACGCAATCTGAACGGACATCCAATGGCCAAATCTGGGACAATCTGAACAACATAAATAGTGAGTGTAGGGGACCACAATCCACTAAAAGAAACATCCTCGGGTCCATACTGATTTCTAATATAAGTAAATAACCGAATAAATAAATAAACAGGAGAAGGGACAGATCTTACTCACAGTAGAGCTCCAATTACTAGATGTAAAACGAATGAAGGAAATAGAAAATCTCCACTAGGCAAACATCACGGTGATAACTGTTTGCTATGAATAGCACGTCTGTGCCCACCAAATTCATATGTTGAAGCCCTGACCCCCCAAAAGGATGGTATTAGGAGGTGGAGCCTTTGGGAGGTGATTAGAGTTAGATGAGGTCATGAGGGTGGGGCCCCCAGGATGCAATTAGGGCCCTTATAAGAAGAGAAAGGGACAAGAGTTCTCTCCCCACCCTATGAGGGCACAGCAAGAAGGTGGCCATCTGCAAACCAGAAAGTGGGCCCTCACCATACCCATGTCCTGAGACTTCCCAGCCTCCAGAACTGTGAGAAATAAATGTCTATTGTTTCAGGCACCCAGCATTCTTGTTATAGTAGTCTAAGCAGACTACGGCAAGATCCACCAAAGGATGCTAAAATTAGTGGGCAAAGTAGGATCAGAAGCAGGGTATTTGTGGCCGGGCCTAGAGGCTCACACCTGTAATCCCAGCACTCTGGGAGGCTGAGGCAGGAGGATCGCTTGAAGCCAGCAGTTTGAGGTTGCAGTGAGCTGGGATCCCTCCACTGCACTTTAGCCCAGGAGACAGAGTTAGACCCTATCTCAAAAAAATAAAAGAAAAAGAAAAAACAGAAACAGTACATTTGCATACTCCTGAAGTACCTCCCCACAAGATACTTATTAATTAGAAAGGGAACTCAGAAACTTCAAAGTGCAGAAACGTGGCAGGCACCACCTTCACCAGCGATCAAGGTTAACGTCACCAGTGATATTACAACATACGCTGAGGACACGGTGTCGCCTCTGTGGTGTTCTTGCCAAAAGTGCAAAACCTCAATCTGATCATAAGAAAACATCAGACCCAAACTGAGGGACATTCTACTAAACGACTTCCCAGTGCTCTTCAAAAGCGTCAAGGTCGTGCAAGGTAAGCAGACTGAGGAGCTGCCACAGACCAGGGCAGGCTGAAGAGACTGACCACACAACACAGCGGCTGTGAGTGGGATCCTGAATCGGATCCTGAGAGAGAAAAGGGATTTTAGTGGGAAACTATGAAATTCTAAGGTCAGTGGACTGGATCGTGGTTACTGCCCTGCTAGTGTCCTTGTTTTGGTAACTGTCCTGTGGGTCACATGATGTTACATTAGGGGTAGCTGGGCTAAAGTTATGTGAGAACTTTTTTGGGGCAACTTTTCTAAAATTATTATTATTTTTTTGTAGAGGTGGGGTCTATGTTGCCTAGGCTGGTCTCAAACTCCTGGCCTCAAGTGAGCCTCCCGCCTTGGCCTCCCAAACTGCTGGGATTACAGGTATGAGCCACCACACCCAGCCTAAAGTTATCTTAAAATAAAAAGAGGAGAAAGAAAGAATTCAGGAGTGTGTACACTATACACCAGAGAAACACTCATGACAAAAAGTGAATAAAGAATACTTTTGTACTTGGGGGAGAGAGGGACTTGGGACTATCTAGAAAATTCACCATGTGGCCAAGAGAACACCTGGACAGGTGAAGCCGGGCTGCAGGAGGCCAAGCCCTCTGCTCTCACTCCATCACTGCCTCGTGTCCTGTAATTCCATGAAGTCATTTGTGGGCACTGAGCAAAGGCCGGGGACCAGGTACCAGGCCTCCTGCCTCCCCCCCAGGCCACACCCACAGCACTCACCTGCGGAGGAGCGACTGCTGCAGGCTCTTGCAGGTGGCCAGGGACTCCCCGGTGAACATGTGGCACACGATGACATGCAGACAGCGGGCCATGAAGGCCAGCACCGCGTCAGGCTGGAGGGTGCCACTGCGGGAGACCAGGCACAGACGCTGCAGTGAGGGGCACTGGCTCAGCGCCTGGAAGAACTGGGCGTTGGCGCTGAAGTAGGGCTGCTCCAGCCTGTGGGAGAGAGGACGGCGTGAGACCCCACAGCACAGGTCCACCAGGCCATGCCACAGGGTCCTAGATGTGCTGGGAGCAGGGCCTCTTGACCTGGGGCCCAGCCCAGCTGCTCCCACCCTTGTCTACACCACGGTGACTCAGACCCCTGGCTTCTCCCTTGGAGATCCTGATTAGGGGGGACCCAGCCAGCCACTGTCTACAGACCTGTGCTAAGAGTCACTGGCTTGAGGCCATCAGGCTTCTGTGTGCACAGCTGCCTGTGTTCACTCTGCTGCCTGCCTGGTGCACCTGACTGACCCCCGGGCACCCCACCCTCTCTCAGACACTGACACTGACACTGACGTGCTGGGCGGGGGGTGCAGAGAGGAACTCGTATGAGGTCCCTGCCCTCAGGGAGTCACCGTGATGGAGGACATGGAGGAAACAGATGATACACAAACCACGGGAGAGGGTGGGAGGCTGCAGGTACGGTGGGGGAGATGCCTCAGCCAGGTGGGGACCACTCCAGCTGTGACAGGAAGAGTGGACAGCACGGGATGGCTCCGAGGCCAAGGAGTGGCTGAGGGTGAGTGGGGCCGAGCTAACAAGTCGACATGCAGCCTACAGATGACAAGGATTGCAGGTGTGCACCCAGGTGGCACCTGTTTTCAGGATGATGGACGGGAGCCAGACCACAGGCAGAAAAGAGATCCCAGAGGCTATGGCTACAGGGAGGCAGAGGAGAGAACTGGGGGAGGGCAGGGTTTGGGAAGGGGAATAGGGGACAACATTCTAGATCCTTCCTTGGGAGTCTGTCTACCAGGACAGGAAGCAGGACAGAGCAGGCTCTGAGGGTACAGTGATGGACACAGGCACACGCCGCTGCTGAGGAGAATCTACAGAGAAGTCCAGCTGCCAGCTGAGAACAGTCATGGGACCTGGGAGATGCCTGGGCCATGGTGGGAAGTAGGTGCACTGAGCTCGTCAGAGACGAGAAACAGGGGAGCAGAGAGGGCCAGGGGAGAACTCAAGGGACTTCAGGGGCTGTCAGGAGCACCTGGTGTCAAGGGAGGAGCAACTGAAGGGACAGGCTGAGAGCCAGGGGGTGGGGGGAGGCTGGTGTGGGCTGAATCGTGTCCCCAACAAGGTATGCAGGAGTCCTAACCCCAGGGTCTTTGCAGATGGAGTCAAGATGCAGTCACACTGGATCAGGGTGGGCTCTAAACCCAACGTTTGGCTCCTTAGAAGACAGAGGGACAACAGCCACGTGTCAACAGAGGCAGAGACCCAGAGTGATGCGTCTACAGGCCAAGGAGCGCCAAGTGCTGCTGGTGGTCACCAGCAGCTGGATAGGAGGCCTGGGACGGACTCTTCCTAACACCCTTCAGAAGGAACCGACTCTCCCTGCACCTTGACTTTGGACTTCCGGCCTCCAGAATCATCAGAGGATAAATTTCTGCTACTTTAAACCTCCCAGTCTGTGGTCAATCGTTACGGCAGCCCCAGGACACCAGCACAGACGCTGAGCAGAAATGAGGCTGGCGGCAACGGGTGGACATTGTTCCAAGTTGTCCCACATAGGAGCCACCGGTCAGTCACATGTGGCTACTGAATACCTGAAAGGCAGCTAGTGAGGCTGGTTTTCGTTTTAATCAATTTAAGTAGAAATTCTGTGATGCTCCTAATGCTAAGATTATGGGGGAAATGCAGGTCCTCCTGGGGTGTGACTGTGAAAAGCTGTGGTGCCCACTGCCCAGTGCCAGCATGGGGTGCCACGGCGGGGGCCGGGGGAGGGGGGAGGCAGCGTGCTCCTGAGTAGCTGGGACCACAGGCATGTGACACGACACTCAGCTAATTTTTTTTTTCTATTTTTTGTAGAGATGGGGTCTCACTCTTGCTTGGGCTGGTCTTGAACTCCTGGCCTCAAGCAATCCTCCCACCTGGGCCTCCCAAAGTGCTAGGATTACAGGCATGGTCATATCTTTTAGGAACAAATTTTTTTTTTAAAGTCCTAAGGTGAGCTCAGGTTGAATATCTAGCAGACGCTGCCCCTAAAGAAAACAATGGAGACATCGCGGCAGGGATTTTGTGCTCAGTAACTCGGAGGCCCCCAGGCAGACTACAGACTGTGACGAGAGGACTGGAGTCCCCCATGTGCACAGGTTGGATTCGTCACAAATTTAACAAGTCAAGAATCCCAGGTAAGGCCGGGCGCGGTGGCTCACGCCTGTAATCCTAGC